CCCCCCCCACACACACACACACACACACACACACACACACACACATTTGCTGTCCCCTTGTTCGGACCACACCCATCTTCCAACACAACCTTCATTTTGATCTCAACTATGCATCTTTTAAGTTTGGTGACTCCACAGACAGACAGACAGACAGCTGGATAATAAGGACTACAAACCTCCTTTGTTTTGTAGTCCCCGCGACAATAGGTGTCTCTAGCACCACATTTTCTCATGATGACTCACGCCCATTTGCTCACAAGGTTGAAAACAGCACCAGCGTGGGACGGTAATTAGCACCTCGCTGACACAGCGTCAACAAAAACTGTCCGTACTGTACTCACACGGGGGTTTCCATTTTTGATTTGGTCACTGACAAAACATACAGTGATGTCAGTGATGTGGCAGCTGCGACTGTGGTATGTTCACAGCGTTGGAAAGTACAAGCTGTGGGAGGATTCAATGATTCAATGAAGTCATTGTTGTGCTTGTAAATAGTTTAGTCCACTAACATCCATACAGCATACAGTCCACTTCATGTGTCCCCTGTTTGGTGAGGATCAAGGACAGTGACATTGAAATATGATTGTGTTGCATACTGCTTGTATTTGCTCTCAATATATCTTATTGTGGTATATTATGAAATTTAATTAGGAATTGATCTCTCTTTCTGGTTTTAGTCCATCACTCCGTCTCCAGAGCAGGGTGCACGCGTTTGGCTGGCGGTGCATGAAGACGGTATCAGCGTTCTGGAGCACAACTCTGTCGTAAGCATCTCTGGTGTTAGACCTGCCTGCAACTGTCCAGGTCGTGATACCGTTAATGACAACAGAGGTGGTATCTACAGTATAAGTCACGCAAACAGCGGAGCGTGAAATGGTTCGGAACATCAAACGGACTCATTTGATGCGTGGTGTTTGGATGCTGAGCAATGAGCACATAGCGATGCAGTGGTTTATTTAGGAAGCTCTAAGAAGCTGGCATGCAATAAAATCAATCAAATGCTCAAAAAATCCACATTTAGTTTCAAGCGTTGTGCTCCACCCTCTTCATGTCAAATGTCTGTGTGTTCAGAAGCCGCTGGCGTCCCACTCGTACAAGAACCTGATGACGTTTGGGGGCTGCAAGCAGGACTTCATGCTGGTTGTCGGACAGAGCATCGGTGGCAACGCCGGCAAAGACAAACCCACGGAGAAACACCTGTTTGCGACTGACGCCTCAAAGGTTAGTGAGAGATGAACCTTTTCGTTTTACCCTCCTCATGCTGGTTTGATGCAGTTTCGCTGGATCTGTTTTGCATGAAACAAAAACACATTCTAATCACACAACACAATATTACAAACATGTCTATCAGCTTTGTGCAACACATGCTTGAAAGCAGACGAGTTCCTGCTGAATGTGGGCGGTGCCAAGTGGGGTCAACCACACACTTGTTTGCTATTGGTTGAGAATCCGACTTCGCCGGTCACAGTTCACCAAAGTTGAACTTCATGTGATGCGTATGTGCAAATTTTCTTTGACCCTTCGCTCGCAGGCAAAACTTCTGGTTGATTTATTCCCTCAGTAAACATTGTAAACATGAGTTTATGGTCTCAATCTCTAGCTTTAAGTCTTCTTCAATACAGCATGATGTTCACTTAGTAAATGATGGTCCATTTAGAGTCAAACAGACCACAAAGCAGGGTTTGCTTTAGGGTGGGGCAACCTTGTGATTGAACAGTCACTGCCTCTACCAGAGCCTACCTGGCGTCACTACGTCACTCCTCCGCATTCCTAGTATGGCAACTTCTGTTCAGTGGTTGCAAAATAGCCAAGATGGCCAAATTGCCAAACTTGAGGCTTCATAACCGCTGTCCACAAAGCAATAGGTGACGTCACGATGACTATTGAGTGTTCACCACTGTGTTACCTCCTTCTTCCATAGATGGTGACTTAACAGACACGTTAATTCAAATGAAAATCTTCAATAATTACTAGCTCTTTCCTGCCATCGTTATGTCGCCAGTCTTCGGCTGAAACCGACCACATTAAGGATTTCTCAGCGGAGTCACAGTCTCTCATCCCCTCTCTCGTTGTGTTTCGCCAACAGATAAGAGAGATCACCCTCCTCGTCTCCAGTTACGTCAACAGTGCTCATCAGCAGAAGGCCGCCGCCCACCACCTCTCCGCCCCGGCCCTGATGGTGGCGCAGCCCGTCAGTCTGAAGAGCAAAGAGCTGAGGAGCAAGTCCCCGCCGGCGTTGGGACGCCCCAGCAAGACCCCCACGCTGCTGTGACGGCATGGAAACTCAAACTCTGAGAAATCTTCAGTGAGCTGAGCTGCCTTTTACCTAATTTCAATTTGAAAGATGAAGGACTCATTCACGGCTGCACTCGGCCTGATTCCATCGTCACGCAGCTCCTCTTTCTTGTCAGTCCGATCCTGTACATTTATCTCACATGGGCTGGATTCATTTTTGGTATGTGCAATGTTCACTTCTCTGTCTGCCGGAAGTGATAAGCACTGTCAACCCAAACCACGAGTGCTCAATCCAAATGAGTTTAGGCCTCTCTCTCTCTCTCGCCTGTTTGGTATCTTTGATATCTGTCGCAGCATTTTGCTGATATCTCCTGAAAGACACTATTTATTGACAGACTTCTGATGTCTCGCTAATGTCTCAATAATCTATCCGTGCTGTGCGCCACATTTTCCCTGTTTTGTAGAGCTGCTCTTTGAAGGAAAGTTATTGTTTTCCACAGTCATGCACGGGGTAGAAGAGGCGATGAGGCTTTGTTAAGGAATAATTAAGAGGGTGTTTTTGTGTCTTTGTCCTCCTGTAGGGCACCAAAACCCTCACAGGGTTAGATGTTGTTGTGTAATGAAGGATACGGAGCAGTGTGATGAAAGCAGGAGGCAAGACCGCAGCTGAAGAGCACGCTTCGCAATGCAATAGACGTGAAGACGAGAGAAAACAACAAAATCAATCTCACGGTCTGGTTCATTCTTTTTTTGTAATTCTCTTCAGTTTCAATGCAGGTGGGACAGGAAAGAAAAGACGTTCTATTCGTGCCATCTTGAAATAAATGGCCAAATAGGATACTGAGCGTTTTGTGTGCCAGTTTGGACCCCATGTGCTCTTAGTTACTGAATAGCCAGCAGAGCGTGAAACTTTAATCATGCACAAATACCGGAAGCCTTTTGCAGCGGCACGTGATTTTGGCAGAAGTGGATTTAGAGGAAGTGGATGTGGCAGGTGTCGAGGCAACAGGTTGGTGGCTTCTCTGTTCTGCTGGTTACCTGGCATGACACATGAAGTTTTAAAGAACACGGTCAGATGTAGTAACCCATGTAATCTAAAGAAACTGGAAGGTACTTAAGAAGGGTGGATTTCCCCTGCCAGTATTATCCCCAGCCTGTATACAGTGAGGTGTTGTATTTATTTGTCATATAAATTGGAATATGTCTTATAATTATTGTACAATGCTCAAATAAACTAAAACTACAGGAACAAGGCTACAGGTTTCACCGAGTGTAAAATGTGTTTTAAATAAAAACAATGCATGCCGTCCCAGCCTCGTCATGTGACTGACGCGTTGATACCTGCAACAGGTCCCTGACACGCCTCATTCCTGCAGTCTTTCACAGAGAGGAGGGGGGGGAAGACATCCGATACCCAACCTGTCTGAACTAGTTGGAGACATGCTTTTGTCCCCGTGTTGCTGTGGAGACGAAGTGTGAGGGGGGAGGAAAACTGGGTGCGGCAAGAGAACCTAGACAGACAAATGATTAAACAGCTGGCTAATTGAAACCATAGAAATGAAGAATGAAACAGGATGTACGTGCGTGTTTCGCCAATCACATGGATCTACAATATGTGCATCCAAAAGTACAGTGCAACATGTAAAAATAGTCGGTTAAGCCGTTGGCGTCTGTTCAGTCACTGCGATGCCTTCACGTCGCTTGGGAAAAACGGACTCGACCTCCAGTGGGGTTTCACTGTGACAAAGGGTTAAACAGGGACTGCAAAGTGCCACCTTCAGCTGGAACACACACACACACACACAGGACCCCCCCCAGAGTTCTTTTTTTACCCACTGGCACTTTTGTTCATTGCCACACAGCAAATTCCAAACTCGCAGTCTTCGCTCGGTTAGAATAAAGGCCGCCTTTAAACTCAGCATTTGTCCACAACGCTGCCCTGAATGAGCTGGAACCTGACCGACAGGTTCAACACAATGCAAAGCAGTTTCAGGAGGTTAAGCTTTTATTTAAAAATAAAAGACTTAACCAACTCCCTCTACACTAAACAGGTGTCATACAGCAAGGAACTCTTACATTCCACAAGTCTGAGCTGAAAACACCGCTTCCTCTGGATTCATGTAGGTGGAGAAGAAATCAGCTGAGCAATAAGTGTCATGAAAGAGAGCCATGAAAAGCAGATTAAACGTTTCTTAAAAAAAAAAAAAAAAAAAAAAAAACACACTACCAGGACAGTGACTCACTCAAAGCAGGGCTGCCACACCCAGTCAAAACAAACTCATCTGGGTAGGAAACCTGGCAGCCATCTTGTGTGAGAGACCTCCATGCACTGTAACCATCATGACACACCATGTGTTTGCATTGACTTTTAAGTCTCATCAGAACCATTTGATCTTTAGGACTAGAACAGCACTCTTTAGTTCCCTCCCCCCTCATGATCCGTGGTACTTTTCCATCGTGACCAGACACAACTTTACACAAACAAAAACAAAACCTGCACCGCAGTGTCTTTAAAAAGATTTTATTATAAACATTTAGACAAAACACACATAAGTAGGAAACTGTACAATCTACGACGCGGACTTTAGACCACTCGACGCGTTCTGACAAAAAAAAAAAAAAAAAGCGGCATGTGCCAGGCACGTTTTCAAAAGCAAAGTTCTTTATGGCATATAGATGGACGATGCGTTAAGAGTTGACATGATTTATAAATAAATGCCGGTACCAGCTGTGCCAACATATAAAAGCAAGTTCATTGTTACAATCTGTATTTCTCAAGTAAAATGGTTTAAAAAAAAAAAAAAAAAAAAAAAAGGCACACTCCCACTGCAGAAAACAAGTTATTCCATAAAGGTCTTCATAGACTCCCGCTGCGATGAAGACTTTACATGGGGTCCAGTTCTCTTTGCTGAAGGAACACAAAAAAATATTAAAATAAAAAATACATTCCATGGTGCAAAAAGTAACTCATAGTTGGGAGTCACAGGAAGATCATCTCACCTGGGTTTTGCTGTATCTCTGATTCTGTCGCCTTCTGGCAAAGAACTGCACCAAAAAAAAAAATAAATAAATAAAAAAAAAATAATAATTTAAATTAGGACACGTACTGCAAATCCTAAATCGGCACACATTTGGATAAAAGCACTCACCAGGACCAGCAGGCCGGCGATCACGGCCAGCACCACCACCACGATGACGGCGATGATGCCGCCCGACAGGTGCTTCATGGTGAAGGTCGGGTTCTCCTCGTCCACGTAGTACACCAGGATGTTCTCCATCTCCAGCTTCTGGCCGTCCACATTGGGCATGAACTCATCCTGGTTCTTGAACAGGGGCAGCACCTTCACCTGCAGGGGAGCCAAAACATTAACGGGTCAGTCACCGGGGCCTCTCTTCAAGCCATAAACAGGATTTAAACTGAAAGAAAGAACAAACATACATCTTTCTCCATGTAGTAGGCCATCTGGGTCAGGTCAGTCATGCGTTCTCCCTTTGCCTTCTTCACATCCACCACAATCGTGCGGGAATCTGCGTCGTACTGCGGCACGACAGACAGGACGCTGTGTTAGTCAGGTACTTTTGTAATGCCGTTCTAACATACATAAAAACGTGCGTCGTTTAATTGTTTTTTAAACTGGAGACTCACCTCGACCTTTTCCACCAATTCCTTGTTAAAGTTATTGTAACGTTTGTTAATGGCATCGGCAATGGCACTGTATTAGGAAAAATAAGAAATCACAATTGTGGCATATTGAAACTCAGAAGTCAACGATGCTTGATTTTTATTCATTTGAAATGGGGGCTGTTAAAAGTACTCACGCCTTCAGGTTTTCAGCTTTCACTGGAGTTGTCGATGGTTTGTGTTTCAGCTGCAGACGAACCCAGCTGGAGAGGGGGGCAAAACAAACAAGGAGACAAAGGGTTAACATTCAGCGCCCGAACATTGACACTGATCATCCACGCAGATGATGAGGACAACACTCACTAGGTCTCCACCAGCTTGGGGCACTCGAGAGTCTTGCCCTCCTTGTCGGTACGACGGACTCCAGCGCTGTTGACGCACCAGCACTCCTCCGTGTTGTTGCACTGCTTGGCCCTGAACTTGCCGTCGGCCTCGCAATCCGGGTCGTAGATGCCGTCGTTGTCCACGAAGGCCGTCTCCACCGGCTTTCCTCCTATTGTGCGCGTGCTCAGGCCCTTTTTAGCTCGGTACATCTCGGCCTTCATCAGGAAGCACTTGGGGATCACTGAAGGGGGGAGGGGGGGGAAAGCCAAATCGTGAGCAACCTGCAAAAGCGAAGAAAAACCTACACACGCTTGATCACAACATACAGGTTTTACTTACATGCGTCGCATTTCAGCGTTTGTGTAATGCTGTCACCGATCAGAAGGGTACAAGTGCATGGAGTCCCGTCACAGGTGGCCCACTTCATAGTTTCACATGAACCTAAAAAAGAAAAAAAAAAAAAAAAAAAAGTAAAAGGAGGGTTAGGGTTATCAATATCGAATTATGTAAGAGACCCCTGAAAAGAATTTGAAGTAATTGGCGTGCATGTCAAGTTAAATATCACTCAATGTTTCAAATATCTACTGGCGCCATTTTATCAGCACTATAGTGTCTCACAATGCACAACTGAAGTGGACAGAGGCCCCCATAGTGTGACTAGAGGATTTATTGTATTGTCGGTTATACAGCCCTATAAACAGAGGGGGGGGGGTAGTACAGCAGGTAGACTAGCAGGTTTACACCTGGGCGTTGGTTCCTCCAAACAGGACGAGTCCCCAGAGAGCGGAACAAATCCTCCCAACCCCCACCCGACAACGACACTACCTGCGTTTGAAAAAACACCTTATACTGGGGTTTTTATTTGTCCACCTCTACCCGCAAATAAGTCACGTTATGCGAGCAGACGTTACACTTAAAGTGAGAAGAGTGTTCCTGCTGGAACACACGGCATTAAAAAGCAAAATTTAAACTTCATTTTTAACTAAAGCTTACAAAAAATGCCAAGAAAACACTTGAAAATGGAAAACAGCACAGAATGACATTTAGGCGACGCGTTACCGCGAACTGCGTTGAAAGGTTTTTTATTTTTTATTTTATTTTTTAAAAGACTAATAAAGTTAAATAAATCAAACTACTTACATTGAGCTGAGGCTCCTGTCGCGAAGGCGACGAGAACGAGAGCAATCCACATTTTCATGATGAAAATTAATTAAACCAAAAAACGACTTGTTGAGAACAAAACAAAACCGTCAGCTTTCTGTCCCTCCGCCGTCCACAGAGGTCAAAGATAGAGTAAAGAATGGCGTTCGGGGGAAAACAAGGCTTCCTTTTTCTCCCTGCAGGTGTGTCCCGGCGGTCGAACCTGTTCGAAGGAGAGAAACTCAACTAGAGCGCGTGCGCACACAAAGGTAACGACTTTGAAACTGGAGCACGAGCGCCACCAAAGTGAAGTAACACAGCTGGCTGTTGATTATATCCCTTCTGATGGTTGTTGTCCAACTGACACAAGAGCGGCTATGAAGTAAATTTATAAGACAACTAGTCTATTGACGTCACTCCAATTTGACGGGGGGGGGGGGTTGTTCGTCAAGCGCACCTTTTCTCCGGTGTGACCATATTTGGTCTCTCTCTCTCTCTCTCTCTCTCTCTCTCTCTCTGTTGACATATTTTATTCTTTCAGCTTGTCAATATACAAAAATACTTTTGTGGTTAATATTTTACAGGCAATATTCTGCCTAGATTAACATTGTAACACTGTTTTATGTCTGTATAGAGTGTGGCTTGTAGTGACCTTTATACTTCAAGAATTGTTGTGATATTTCTGAAGGATCTTAAGTATCACAGCTAATAGTGTCTTTTTATATGTAAAGGCCTTTATTATATCATTGCAATATGCCTGTGGGATCATTATGTAGATATCACTTCAGACAGTTTACACCATATAGTTTTACACTACACTTTTGTAATGATATTCATATATCCCCATTATGTTATATCGTACCTTTATAATATCACTGTGTGATAGTTTTGATCACTGTGTATTCTTATCACGTCGTAGTCGGCTATTTAGACATCACGTTCACCAATACAGTCAAAGCATTTAGCTGTGTCCAGAGTCCATATAGTTCATATTTCATATCCCACACCTAAGCTATCCCAATATGTGCACAAAATGCGCAGCGTTTAAGCAATACTTCTAGATATGTAAAAAATAAATCTTGTTCAACTGTCCGAAGCAGGTATCTTAACTGACAGAAACCAGAGGCTGGGGGGCTGGGTATTGTGAGTCACGCTCTGTGGGATGACACGGCTGAGTCACGCCTCAGGTCATGTGGAGACTCTCCACCTGAGAGATACTCTCACACTCTCAGCAGTTTACCCAATATTTTTTTTATGCTTATTCATTAGTCCTCGTTAATCAAGAGTCAAGTGGGCTACACAGAAAAAGGAAGGAGGAGACGCCCCGCAGATGGGACGGACACAATCTAAAAGACTACACATGCACTAGCTTACTTTCATGGAAAAAGATGGATACAGAGGTAGAACTAATCTAATAGTCTAATCTTTGATTATGGGCTTGATTTGTGTAACCTCATCTAGGGGAACAGCTTTGAAACATGCAGTCACTGCTCCACATTTCAATAGCTTTTCGTGATTTCTACAGCTTGTTGTTTGTCACTTACGAGCATATTAAGAATTGTTAAAAGAAATAGTCTGACATGTAAAAAAAAAAAAAGAAGCCACTTATGAACTTTTTATGAAATATTAGCACTTTTGTTTTTTAAGAAATCATGATGCACTCTGTAGGCTACTTCGCCAAACCGGTTGTGTTACGAAACCCTTTCGGTTGCTGTAGAGAATTAAAAGCAGCTCACACAAAAGTGCAGGTGAGTCATTTTCACGAGTGCACCTGAGGGCAGATCAAGGTTTTGCACACTCTTGCCTATGAGTTCTTCGATGAACCACAAATGTTCCAGGAAGGCTTTTATTTAAATCTGTCTACATACCTCGCCTACCACAGCAAAATGAGCCAATTTAGGCAATTTCGATGGTGCGACTATATTTTAGCAGAGCGGGTACCGTCTTAGAATAATGCACAATTTTTTCTTTCTTCCCATTCTGAAAACATTGCATGAAGCAAATTACACAGCAAAAGAACAGCTCACAGCATTAAGTCCCTGTAGACTCTCTTTGTGGCAAAGAGTACTAGTCAAACACAGGTGTAACTAATAATGTTAATGATTGCCGTGTTGCAGAGGCCTGGTAGTGTGTATGCTCCCTCACTGGAATGCAGCCTTCACTAATGTGAACGAGTGAAACCTGTGGTCCGAGAGTTGTTGCTGTACAAAAACACAACACAAATTTTGTGTTTTGGTAGTCTGTTTGTATTTAACGCACAAACATTTAAAAAGACATTTTTGAGTAAAGTATACTTGATTTTGTTTCTTTAAGGACACTTGTGAACTCTTGACTATAGCGTCACCATGAGGTTTGAGTGAAATGTCTCGACAACTACCGGATGGATTGCCATGAAATTTTGGTTCCGACATTCATGTCTCACTCGAGGATGAATCCAATAACTGTGGTGTTCCTCTGACTTTTCATCTCGGGCCGTCATCAGGTCAAAATTAGTACAGAGGATGTGATTCCTGCAGAACTACTGACATTCCCAGCAACCACGTGCTATATTTTATACTAGTTATCAAATGTTAGCATGCTAACTTGCTAAAGTAAGATGGTGAATATGTCACAATCAGGCTTTGCCTTGTGTGTTTTTCTGTAGCTCCTCACTCCCTTCACCTGTCCCTAATCAGTTCATTCAGTGCACCTGCCAGTCACACTCACCTCATCAGCTCATGACTCTTACCTGCTCACTCTGCCTCCTTCACTATTTAAACCCCTGCCTCACACACACCCACTGCCAGATCATTGTTTCTTTCCTACCTACCCGCCTGCCCGTTTTGCTCGTCCTGTTCCCGGTTTCCCCGTCTGCTTGTCCCCCCTTGTCTCTTGTCTTGTCCTTGGATTCCCTGTTTGTTTTTGGATTATTCATTAAAACCCTTTTTGCAGTACACCTGACTGTCTGCGCTTGAGTCCTCATCATGCCCCGTGACAGAATATGGTAAACTCTATGCCTGCTAAACATCAGCAGGTTAGCATTGTCTTAGAGTGGCGAAGCCCCGCCCCTTTTGGTGTCCCCAATGGGACCTTATTTTGGAAAAAATATGTCAGGTAGTCCTACAACGGCAAGGGACAAATATTTTGTTGATCCAGTTTGAATTGTGCCATGATTTACACATATGTTTTTCAATTTTAAGTTGCAGTTTGTTGTAACTGTTTTTTTTTGTGTGAAAGGGCTCAGTGTCACCAACACCAACATGGCCGTAACCTTGGCTGGCGAGCTAGCTAACTTAGCTATGTTCCACGCACAAATGTAACGTTATCTCACCCGACGTGTTTCATCCAGCGAATCTTTTTTTTATCAGCCGGGAAGCGAAAGAACGAGCGAAACCCGTCGTCCGTGTGAGTACATCGAAACACACAGCTATCGTAGCTTCAGCGAGAGACGCCACTTGTGCGACTTTTGGGTGTTTAGTCTTTTTTTTACAACACATTTTCACAGTTGCTTCAACAGTTTTATGACAAAATTAGACTCTAGATGTAGTCTCTCGCTGCTGACTACCGTAAATATTTTTTTTACAAAATAAGGTCCCAGGTGTGTGCACCGGAAATCGAGGGACTTCGCCTATCTATTGTGAGCATGTTAGCGAAAGCCTTGCTGTACCTAAGAATAGACCACTAGCATGGCTGTAGAGTCCTTTTCACTGCTAACTCCACTGTTAGGGGGTAGGCAGAAACTCCATGACACTTTGTGTCGCTAACTGCTACTTTTCATCTGCCAGAGAAGAGGCTTCACTGGGAGAGCGTGATACACAGAGGGTTCATGGTCAGCACTTCCTCGAACAGTGCAGAGTCAGCCACAGACTGATAAGTAATACACAACCCAGACCATCGCTAGTATGACTTAAATGTCAAGTGTAACAAGGGTAAGCAATTGTACAGGCCCCAAGTGATTTGATACTTAAATCTTTACAACAGCCAACAAAAAACGCTCGCACTTTTCTCACCTGTGGACGGAGCTCATAAACCAGCTCAGTATCGTCTTATCGCTGCAGTAGCGGCTGCCAAGGATTTATGATTCTGCATGTCGTGTATTGTATACAAGCCTGGATGGCAGTGCTGGTTTTTATCTTATGCTAATGCCATATGAATGGGATTTGCCCTACTGAACAATGCAGTGACTGCAAAGAATCTACGAGTCAATTCAGTTCACGTTTATAGGATTTACTGATGTGATGATACCCCAGTTATGTTTTACCAGTGTTTTACCAGTGGCCATGTGTTTTATACCTGGGCCTTCAGTGCTGTCCTACTACAGTTGAACCACCTCCTGATAATCTCATTATGACGTCAGCATGACGGGATGCTTCGTCATTAACGGGCAATGCATATAGTCAAAATCAATGTAATTAACACAATGACAAGAACAAACTCACAAGAACCAGTCACATATATTTATATGACAACAAAGCAGGTAGAATAACATAAAACCCAAATAACACGATTCAACAGGCCTCTGCACATTCCAGCAAAACACGCATTCATCCACACACTCAAGGGCATGGGCCATTCAAACATTATTCACATCAGAGGGAACAATATTAACCATATCATAAAAACAACACCATAGAAAAATTAACAGTATTAAAGCTACTGCAGATGTAAAAAAACGAAAGCAGTTCACTTACCAAAGCTGCTGTTCACTTAAAGACAAAGTCCATCCTCCTTTCTTTGATTACCAAGAGTTCAATCCCACGGTTGTACAGAACATCGGTGCGGTTCAGGTCCAGCAAGAGGTCCTTCTCGATTCATGGACGCCAGTGATGACAGTCGAGTCTCCCCAGTTGTATTTCTTGAATAGGTTTTAATGCGTTTGAGGGCTGAAAATGTCCGCTCGACAGAGGCAGTAGATATTGGATTTCCTTACTTAGAGACAGCATAGGGGTGAAATCTGATTGGATAAAAGCTCTACTTAAAACAAGCTGTGCTGGAAGCAGAGCAACTGAGGAAGACAGTAGCTGTGCAATGAGATAATAAGCTAATGGGGAAAAATATTTAGAATACATGTAGTGTATTTATGAAAAATAATGAAATTATAAAATAGCTATAACTTTGTGATTCTGTCTAGGCCAGCAGAGAAGGCCTTGCTGGCCCTGACGGCCCACCACTGTGTTTTACCAAGTAGAGGTTACACCAGAAGCAAGCTGCAGCTTGCAAAAACAGTGGTGTGACATCTCAAAACAAGCATCTTCGATACAAACTCCAACAAAGACAGGAGAAATCACGCAGTGAAATATCAGTAATCCCCGATGATCGGGTGACCTGTCTTCTTACAGCAAGCAGAACAAAAGCGTGTGCCACAGGGGACTGGTCCACTTATTGTGCGAGGGCTG